ATGTTAGCCCGGGTAGACAAGGAGCTGGCAGGCCCTGTGCGAGAAGCTGAAAGAGCGGCATCACTCGAAAGAGTTTCAGCCGCAGAACAAAAGAGCGAGTTCAAAAGAGCGGATGGGTTGAGCAGAGCGAGTAGGAAAACAAGGAGACAGGCAGACATTGTGAAGATGAGGAATACTGCAGCTGGTCGCCCAACGTTATATGGATTTGCTAGTGCATTGATATTAGTCTATTCGGCGGGCGATCATATTTCATCGGGGGCCAAGCCAAGTAAGAGAAGAGAATCATGGGTTGTTACCAAAGAGTGAGAAATGGCGGCAGTTACACGGTAGAACCCACTTGGAATTCGTACGGCTTGTGGATGTGTTCGGCGATCATTGAACAAAGCACCCGCTTGGCGCTGCTGGATATCCCGGAACCACAGTGCGAACCGAGTTGAATATTCATGCCCGCAATGGTTGTTATTGAGATAAGCAGGGGAATAAATACGTTACGTATCTGAAGTCCCTCTTTGAGTAAAGAAAACAAATGAAGGTCATGTATAAGGAAAATCCAAAAACCATGTTGTCTATTAGTCGAAAAGGTTCTGCTGGATACTGCTTCCAACGACACTACCAGCTGGCAGAGTGACGGCAAGAGCCTGTGATCTAGCAGGTGATCCCCACCCAGAAGGAATGCCCCCGGACCCGAGAGTGAAATTAACCGCCAGGGCGGATAGAGTCTGAGTTGGATCGGACAGAGTGACCGTCCAGGTGTTCAGGTTGACAATGATGGCGCTACTTCCGTTCGATCTTACGGTGAGGGGTGCAACGCCTGTCGTCTTGGAAGGTATGGTGACCGATCCGCCAGCGTCCACCCAAAATACAATCATGGCAACGTTGTTCGCTGCATCGAGTAATGCCGAAATACTGCCATCGTTGCGGACGGAAACGAGTTGAGTAGATGATAATTTCTGCGGGAAGGAAACTTGGGTAGTTGCAGGGAAGACGGTGTAGGAGATAGGGACGGTAGGGTCAATGTGGTTGAGCCAGGCTGCGAACAGGTTGACTGGACCAGCTTGTTGAGATGACGAGCCGATTGACTGCCACGACCCAGTTCGGGAAGTGAGGGACACGGAGAGGGAAGTGCTTGGGTTGGAAGTGTTGAATGCATAACCGACGCCTCCATACCACAGAGTGGAGGGCGTTGAGAAGTTTCCGCTGCTGACTTGCGCACCGTTCACAAATACAGCCCCATCTTGTTTTCTCTGATCGAGAACTGAAAAAACGGGGGCGGTGGTGGTAGACGTAAGGCGAGCCAACATCACGAATTGGACATCGTTGTTGAGGAAAAACCAGGTCTTCCTCCATGCGAGTGTTCTGGTGGTCGGTGTTTCGTAGCGCATAGCGGCGATACCAATGGTTCCGTCGGATGCACCGCCCACGAAACCTTGAGTTCCAGTTTTGCGGGTACTGGAGCAGTCGAGCGGCGTGGCGGCATAGTCCGTCGTAGTTCCTGGTATCAAGTTCCAGTCCCATGCGGCAAAAATATCTTCGTATTCATTGCCTGAGAGGTATGTATAAACTGCGCCGTCTGAGAGGTGGAAACCGAAAGGGTTTTGTGTGTTGACGCATTCAGTGTTCTGGGTTCGTCTGGAATACATCCTCAATGTGGTGACATAGCCATTGCCGCGTTGAACCTGGGAAGTCCGAAATGAGAAACAGATAAATGGCTTCAAAATGTGTTAATTCACCATGTAATCATTAGCGTAGAACATCTTGTTTCCGTTCAACGAGCCAACATTGGCGGACGAACTTGCAGAAGCCGAGGATAGGCTGTTGAATATTTGGGTGATTTCGCCGGAGTTCCATAATTGACCTAAGGTTTGTAGTTGGGTGAGGTTCGTTTTGATGTTCGCAGTGGCTCTTTAGAGATAGGTGAGCGGGTTACTGAGAAGGACAACTGATACCCACTGGTTGTCTGCAACTGGCAAGCTAACAAATCGCCCAAGGACAGACTAATGTGGCATCATGAGTAACACGAAAGAGGAACAACCGGGCGATCGTCTCACATAATCCCAGTGCAAGACGTTGGTGACCTTGTTGACGAAGATCATCCACTGATTTGCAAGGAGTAACGTGATGAATGCAGCACGCGAGGCGCCAGTAGCCTGGAAGGCAGTACCGCCTGCGGTGATTTCCAAGTTCAGCACGTTGTTAGTGCTGACATGCTTTTCAGAATGATACAAGTGCACTAATACAACGAGATACGCACTAGTCCTTTCCTGCAGAGCAACTGTTAGGAAATTTCGAGAGGCTGATACAAGGACAACCTACCATAATTGCCGTTGTAAATGATACCACTGTGCTGTCCTGGAAGATCAGGCGGCCACCACTTCAATTATACTTGCTTCGACAAAGGGGCTCCAGCTGCTTACCGAACGATCCATCGGCTCGAATACCATCGACCTTCACACCATCCTTAATGGTAAATTCTTGGTGCACCCTGTTGTATGCATCTAGAAGCAAGGTAGCGTTGGCAGTAGAAAGTCCTAGGTCGATACCGATGCTCGCGATATCGAGAGTATTTGCACCGGTAATGGCACTAACACCGTTTATACCGGTCTGAAATGTTCCATAGGCCCGTCCGGTTATACGTTGACATGCAGCCGATTCACTGGTCGTCAAGGAATTGCCGAGGAGCAAGCAAACTTGGCCAACCCATCCTGGGATGAGGAGGACCTGCACGACATTAACCTAGACAACAACTGCGGAGAAAATCACGCACATTAGAGGCCCAATTAATGTTCCAGAAACCGGGAGTCGTGCACGGGCACGAAGTGGTGCCTCCAGAATCCAAGCAGGCAGGGACGGAAAAGTCATTCGAGAACCAGTAATTCATTGCACTACTGATTGCAGCACGCACAGATGCGTCACCAGCATACTGAAGAGCATTCCTCAGACCACCGTGCCAAGCAGCCGCGAGCGTATCTTTGAGAAGCAAGGCCAGTCAGTGAGAGTGACATCATGGAACATAGAAGTACGGACTAATACGGCTCCAATGGGACTGGGCAGGCCAGCTGGCAGTCTGAGCGTTGCACCCCGTGGTATAATTGATTTCTGAGTCTGGCCATTTGCCATTTGACCCCAGACTCGATAACCTGCATTAGGCATCATCAGTACTCAACATTGATTGTCCAAATTAACCAGAAGGCGGCTCACCAAGCTGGAATGGACGTGGCTCCGGTCGTGCTACCGACGACAACAGAAAGCCTTTGCTGACGAGCGATATCTATGTCGTCGGCCACGGCGACCGTTATCAAGGTGGCAAACACCGAAGAAAGCAGGAGAGCTGTGGTAGTAAGCTTCATCGCAAACTGGGGTCTGTACGCATTTTCGTTGGGCCCTTTATAGGAGGGAACAACCGCTTCTAAAATAGCACGAGTAAGCCGCGAACCACGGAAAAATTAGCTATCTCTATAGGTTGACTCGGACTTGGCCCTTGGAAAAACGACAAGCCAGAAAGTGACACACTGTTCTTCGTTCCTCACGGACAGGACGAGTCAAGAGCGCTGATCGTCCGACCACAGTGAGAGTCTACGGTGATATGGATGCACCATGGGATAACATTACTTCAAGTCCACTTCAGCGGTGGGATGACACGAGCTCCCCAGGTCCGGAATGTGACTTGAGCACTGAAGCAGCCTTAGGCTGCCATATGATCCAGGATCATGATGGTGATTCAGTCAACGTCCAAGTCCTTCGAGCACGGAGAAATTACGGATTGACAGTAATCAAGGACAGGAAGACGGTGCTGGGAGCCAGAACTGTCGATGAAATGTTTGCTTGAGATGATGGCAATGGCTTGAGTTCAGTCAAAGCTCCCGTTCCAAGTCACAAATTACGAATGTGTGGTTGAGTCATGTGGTCGTGACTGTTCGCGTCCTCGGGAACGACTCCAATTTAAGAGAAATTGCGCGCGCGCTTCCCATGGATATAGTATGATACACTGGGTAATTACGGTACAGTATACTCGGCACAGATCTAGGATAAGAGAAAAAAGTTCCATTCATTTATTGCTTCGTCGAGATCACGTTAAGTTTCGTAAGAGAAGTGATGATTGGAACCGCGTAGAACGCGTACGCGACCCAAACCACTGTAACAAATGAGTCAAGAGAAGGAGAGGAACGCGCAATTTTACTCACTGGTAAACGCATTTCCCGTAGATGCGACCAGTTTCGGTCCCTGTTGGCCCTGCAGCGCGATACTGGCGTTGAAATCCTGAACAGCTTTGCCAAACCACATCCTGATAATCAGGAAAGAAGTAAGCCCTGTTGCATGGATAGATTAATGCGCGGATCATTGCGTAAGCGTCCCTAAAACTGACCAACTATGAAGCCAAAGAACCCTACCCAAGCGGACAGCCGCTGGAGAACAGGTTTATCGAGTATCGCAGTCATCTTGCCACCCAATTTATGACGGAACGAAATCAATGTGAAGGTGAGGAAGAACACGATGGAGAATGCAATCGCAAGGGCAATGAATACGGGACTCGTAGCAGTCGGAGCGGACAGCAGGAGACTCGGAGAGCTGCCTGGAAGGACGGAGAGATCTATGGATTATTGCCCTTTAGTTGCAGGACTCGACATGCCCTGGTAGGCGCCCACCGTATATAGGTGAAATTGCTGGTGTAGTGCAATTAATTTGGGCGGCGTTGCTTGGTTTGGAACATGAACCTAAGTATTCGACAGGTCAGAGTAACTGACAAAGGCAGAATTTGCGAGACTTCTTACCCAATACACCCATGAAAACACTTGGTCCATCTACAGCTTGGGATGGACCGGGTTGAACCAACGTCGTGGAGGGTAATACGGTTAGGAGGGCAACTTGGTCGTGGAGCAACATGGTTGGTGCGAGAAGGGCAAAGAGGGACAAAAGGATGGCAGTGAGGGATAGAAGGGGAGCGAGGTAGAGGATGACGGCCTTGGAAAGTCCTGCGATCATGATTAAAGAACGTCACTTATAAAGACCAATGAAAAAGGGTCGACTAGCGACAAAAATGAACGTGGGGCAAGAAGAGAAAAGACCGAGGGAAAGAGGAAAAGACGGGAAGGACGCTAGGGTATGGCGAACGAAAGGGATGCGCACGCCGCCCATTTTATAACAGTACGTGGTCGCTAATCGTACAGCCGATGCCGCTTCCGGGGAGTAGGGGTAGGGTTGGGAGAACAAAGGCCAGTAACGAGGCTCAAGTGTTACATAAGACGACCATTGTCCTAGTCGCGAGGGCAGCAGGGCACGAATGGAGGGCTGGAAGCGCATCAATCAAGTACGACAGCTGTATTGTACCAAGTACAAGCAGCAAGAAATGGAAGATGCGGAGCTCCATTTATTGTTTTTGTCAAAAAAGCTCCAGACGCGGTACTTTGTAAGCGACATAGCGTACGGAATCCTCAACCAAGAAACTTTGCGACAAAGAACGGGTCCCTGAAGGTATTGGTATTGGTTTGGCCGGGAGACAGATAGTAGAGATGAGAGTAGGTTCGAGCAAATCGACATGCCATTTTGTGGGCTGGGGCGGTCCGGGCGGACACTTCTGATTTCCAAACAGGGTCGAAAAACTTTGACCTCATCGCTCTTCGTCTACGGTCCAGCAACGAGGTTTTCTGCATGGCAGCTATACTACCGAGTGACGCCATAGCTGGAGACGAACAAACCCTTCCTCCGGATTTCCAAAGGCTCTCCATTTTACTCGACGACAGTCCCGAGACCCTTGCGTCTGGAAATCCTGATATACAGGTCGCGGCCTTAGCGGTAGCGAAACATATCTTCGATCTCTGTGAGTCTCTGTTCGTACCCAAAGAATTTGATTTATAATTCTACGTAGCTGTACAATCTGAATCCTCTTCACGACATCATGTTGTGGACCTCATCTCGTCTCTTGCACCTTCCCAGGCGCCCCAGACAAGGTCGAAGATGAAAGCTCAAGCTGAGCATTCGACCTCTCAAACTTCTCAAACTCAGAAAGCGATATTTGATTTCTCTCCTATAGCATCCTTATTCGTGGACGGAATGGATGTCGAGCAAATATGGGTACAACTTGATCTTCGAACCCAGACAATCTGTCGAATGCTTGACTTCGTTTTGGAGGGCGTATCGAGCGAACCTGGACAGCATGAAGATGAGGATAAGGAGGAAAGTAGCGAGGACGGTGAAGAGCTGCTGCAAAAGGCCCTAGCAGCTCTTGAGCAGGACGAGGACGTCGACATGGACAAATTCATGGCGAAATATGGGCTCGACGACGTTGACGAGCTCCTTGACTCTGCAGATGAAGAAACTTCCGATGACTTTGATTTCGACGACGGGGACGAGCAAGCAGAAAACGCCGAAGGCGAAGAAGAGGGAGAAGAGGACATTTCCCCGCTTCGTGACCCGTCGGACGAGGATAGTGATAGCGACAGTCCGGCCTCTCAATTGATCAACTCCATCTTGAAAAAACCGCAGAAGAGGAAGAAAAACGGCCCAAACGGTCCTGCCTCCGAGCTGGATGATGGTTTCTTCAGCCTGGCGGAATTCAATGCCGATACTGAACGGGCAGAAGCTAAATCGACCTCACGGGGGAAGCTTGCGGGAGATGATTCGGATGACGATGAAATGGAGGTCGACTTATTTACATCAGTTGATGCTATTGGGGATGAGGGTGGTCTTGAAGAGCGTGGTATGTCCATTTCATTCGGTTACCGCTCTCGAATGGTTCTTATATCCCACTACGTTTACAGAACTGTTCTATCGCGACTTTTTCGAGCCACCCACGCGCTATTCGTCGACATCACCTGCCAAGTCAAAAAAGCAAACTAACGGTCTAGTTCGGTTCCATGAAGAAGTTCGCGTCAAAAGGATCAAGCCCACAGGAAAGAACAGACCCATGCATGAGGATAGTGACGAAGATGACGAGGAGGAAGACGAAGACGAGGGTGAGGAAGATGATGACTACGGCGAAGACGATTCGGACGAGGACGAGGACGAGGAGGCTTCCGCCGAGGAGCAAGACCTGCGAGCTGAAGAGAAAATTAGTGGGGAAATTTCGGATGAAAGCTCAGAGCTCGAAGAGAACACTATTCAGCGCCTGAAGCACGATCTATCTGCCCACGAGGAAGATGATAACGAGGATGGTGTGTTGCTATTGTCCTCGTTTGCCTTCATATTTTACGAACCTACCCCCTTTTCTTTCCAGATCGCACAACACACGAAAAACGAATGGCGGCTCTAAGGGAGCAAATCGCCCAGCTCGAGTCAGAGAATGTTGCGCCTAAGGAATGGACGCTCATGGGAGAAGCTAGCTCGCGACAACGGACACAAAATTCACTCCTGGAGGAAGACCTAGATTTTGACCGTGTCATGAAAGCCGTCCCTGTCATTACCGAAGAAGTTGTACAATCATTGGAAGAGACCATCAAGGCACGCATATTGGAAGGTCGCTTCGATGATGTTGTTCGCATTCGACCGCGCGAGGATAAACCCTTCTTACCCTCAAAATTCCTCGAATTACAGGACACCAAGTCGACTCAGTCTCTTGCCCAGATTTATGAAAACGAATTTGTTGCAAGTCAGGCAGGAGGGGCTCTTCCCGATGACCGTGACGGAAAACTTCAGAGGGAACATCAAGGAATCACAGCGCTTTGGGAAAAAATATGTGGCAAACTTGATGCTCTCTGCAACGTGCATTATGTTCCTAAACAGGTGCGTCAATTTCTTTCTCCGCCACCCACTTATTGACTTTGATCGTTCTTAGCCCAAAGCAGCGATAACCACCGTCTCAAATGTAGCGACGGCTTCGTTGGAATCGGCCCTGCCGACCTCAAAAGCAACCACGACAATGCTTGCCCCAGAGGAGGTTTTCTCGGCATCGTCTTCGGCGCTGCAAGCTCGGAGCGAACTTACACCTGCTGAGAAGCGTACGCTGAGGACTAAGGAGCGTAAGCAGAAAAAACGCCAGCGCGACACTCTGGACAGGAGTGTCGATAAGTTCGCCAAGGCAAGGAGTATCGGTGGAGTCAAGAAGCAAAAGCAGGCTGCTCTTGATAGCATCGTGAAACATGGGAAGGGTGTAACGGTCGTTGGAAAGAAGGGCACATCGTCAGGATCGGACTCTAAGCGAAAGCGGCAAGGGCGTGGTTCATAATAACGATTTTTTGTTTGGGTGCTTTCCCTCGCGGTCTTACAAGGCTGAACTCCAAAGCAACTCCAAAGCACCCCAACTGTAAGTATAGGGACTAGTATGGATGCGTTCGGATAAAAAAACGGACAACGCATTTGTGAGCGCATTTCTTCACCGGACCCTCTACAACTTTGCAGAAAACAGGGAGTAATATATTTCTATCTAATCCTTGGGTAATTAGCTTATAGCCTTAAAATTGCATGCTTGAAATTGAAATGGATAGGTGGATAGCCAATTTATCCGAATTTTCCTTATCCAGATACCCATTTGCTTTTTCTGGGGTAACTCTTCATCCAGTCTTTGTGTTTTTGGAACCTATAGGTGCTCTAACATCTGAAGAATATAACCACAAATTATCTCATTGGGAGAGCCTCGTTCAGGGATTTAGCAAGGTTTGTGCCGGGGAGTGTCTCGTTATCCGAACTAATCCGTGCTAGTCCCTACCCCAACAACTCTAGAGTCGGGAATTTTATCTGCTTGGAACATTTCCAGGTTTTATTCGAACTATGCTGGGGTTATGCCGTCTGAATCCCTTAGAGCCACTAACAGCGGTTTAAGAAGTACTTACACTAGAGTCTAGCGCGCAGTGGGAATCCGAAGTGGCTATGTGTGTCACGTGCTCGCATTCGCTTAAATAGGAGTGACTCTCGGTTGTCGACGACTCGACCTTGTATCTAACATCCACCATTATCTCCGCCGGACTCCTTCGACACAATGGCTTTCTGGAAGAAGAAGAATGAATCTGTTATTCCACCTGTGGCACCCCCGGCGTCCTTAGCATCCTCTACGTATAACCCTTCCACTCGGTCTAGTTCTGCCACCTACGTTGCCAGCAGAGACGGTGACCCTTACAACGCCACGAACGGCAGTGCATCGCTTGTCAACAAGTACAGCAGAGGACGTGGTGTCGGCGATGTCTACTCTCGCGGAGAGGGTAATGCAGACCAAGATCGAAATGAACTCTTCTCGGGCTACAACCCCGCCAAGTCAGGTTCTGGTCGTTTCTTCGATGGGCCGAACTTGGGAAGGGAGCCTGCCCCTGGCGAGGAGAATGAAGAAGACGTAGAAGGGATCAAGCAACAGACTCGCTTTGTGAAACAGGAGAGTGTGAACTCTACCCGTAATGCCCTTAGGTTGGCTCGTGAAGCTGAAGAGACAGCTCGAAACACATTGACCCGATTGGGCGATCAGTCAGGTGGTTAACCGTCCTTTCCTCTGAATATTCGGTTAATTTTTCCTCCAATGTAGAGAAATTGGCGAACACCGAACGCCATCTCGATGTCGCGAAAGGCCACTCTCAGCGTGCTGATGATAGAACTGATGAACTTAAGCAATTGAACCGGTCGATCTTCCGGCCCGTCATCACGTTTAACAAGGATGCCAAGCGTGCCGCCCACGATGCAAAAATACAATCCCGTTACGATGAAGAACGAGACGAAAGGGAAAAGGCGATGCTGGATATACGCGAGACCCAGAGCCGCCTCGGACGGGCTGCGACATATGGCCGCGGGGGCGACGATGAGGAACTCATTGGTAGTGGAGGTTCTTCCCGTATGCGAACTGCCGATCAGCTCGCCATGCGGAAAGAACAACGCAAACGCTATCAGTTCGAGAGCACTGCTTCTGATGACGAACTGGAAGACGAAGTGGACGACAATCTCGAGGAAATTGACGCTATGACAAAGCGTCTTAAGGCACTCGGCACGGCTATGGGACAAGAGCTCGACAACCAGAATTCCCGCATTGAACGTATTGAAGGGAAAACGGTCGGCCTTGATAATAGGATCTTCAGGAACACTGAACGTGTGCGTAGCGAATTTCACCTGACCTTCCTTGTCACTAATTTTCGCCACCTACAGCTCAAGAAGATCAAGTAGAGTATCTATCCCAAGGATCCCCCGATGGTTACTATCAAGAACGCTCTTTTATCGATTTGAGTTTTGGTCGGGATGCTGATTTCCTGTAATATATATACATTCCAGACTATATCGTGGACATAATGATTTCGTTAGCCTTTTTCCAGAGGGACAGCGAAGTCAGTTGGCAATTGAACGTTGGATGCTTCAAGCTTGAGCTTGAGCGTTTGGGCCCCTAACTTCTGACGCGATCACATGATTTCATGTGACACGCCAAACGAAGCTCACGCACTGCACACTGCAGGGTCGCACCATCCACCTCTTGGAATTGGTCCAACAACGACTTGTTCTGTTCACTCACTCTGCGACTATACCACAAACCCACGAGCAGGAATGGTTTCACAATATGAAATTGACAAGGAAAACAACATCAAGAAGGTACGAGATTCCCGTCCCCGAATTGTAACTGGCCAGAAGGTAAAAACTCTCCCCAGAACAGGGAACTCTTGATGGCACTTGGACTTGATAAACCGCTTTTTGAACCGAAAGAAAAACCCGTCAAGAGAGGCAAAACCAGCAAGAAGCGGAAGGAGCCCGAGCCTTCCCCAGAGGATAACGAATCCGAGGTCGTGACGAAATCTCAACGCGTCGAAGCCGAAGCCGAACCAAATTCGACTCCAGAGTCTGGGCGGCGGAGGAGCTCGCGAAATGTCGGAAAGGCTGTCGAATATAAGAAAGAAATCCTCGAAGGCTCACCTGTGCCCATTGCCTACTCAAGCGGCGTCAAGACCTCAGAGAATTTGGGTCGTTTGGGCCGCAGCTCTGGAACTCGGAAGCACGACCCGTACGAACCCTCCTGGTCGTTGTCATTTCTCTTCCGAGTCAAATACTTACTTACGTTTTCAGAAAAACTTATGGGTCTATTCCTGGAATTGAAGTTGGGACTTGGTGGGAAACCAGACAGGGGTGCAGTGCGGATGCAATTCATGCGTAGGATCCAATTCGTCTGGCTCTGCAGAACACCACTGATTTTAGTCTAGTCCTTGGGTTGGTGGCATTTCTGGCGGTCGTCAGGGAGCCTATAGCGTAGCTCTCAGTGGAGGCTACGACGGCGATGTAGATCTGGGATACGCTTTGTGAGTATCCATTCCAGATGCTTCGTGGTGGCTTTCGTTGACGAGTTCACTAGTACATACACAGGCTCCGGTGAGATACTCTTCTTCGCTTTAACGAGACCATCTCTACGACGTGTGAATTTTTAAAAAAACAGGCGGTCGGGATCTCAAGGGCACGAAGACCGCTCCGAAGAACGTATGAACTGTGCCGATTCATCTCATTTTCGTGGCTTATGGGTCTCCTGTAGCTTCGTACCGCGCCGCAAAGCTCTGATCAAAGTTTCGAACACAATGTACGTCGTTGTGATCTCGTCGTGAATGGATGCGTCTCATCTTGTCAACCCCAGTTCAACAAAATGTTACTGGTTCGCAATCTTCTTATGGATCTGCTTGTTGGCCTCCTCACACTCCCTTAGAGATCATGCGAAACGAAGAAGCCCGTTCGTGTTATTCGGGGTTTCAAGTCGCACTCAAAATATGCGCCGAGCGAAGGGTAAGAAATGGCTTGTTTCTTTCTAGTATTGCTGCTCATCTCTTACTCTGCCGTAGTTATCGTTACGATGGTCTCTATCGTGTCGAGAAGGTGTGCATTGTTTTTATGCCAACTTAGCTATTTCTTATGAGTTACCCTTAAGGCCTGGATGGAAAAGGGCCTGAATTCCAAATACTTGATTTGCAGGTATGCATTCAAGGTACGGTGGCTCACCCTTATAGCGGCGCAGTACGTTATCTAAGGCTCGCATTCTAGCGCCTTCCCGGTCAACCTCCCTTGCCCCTTCGTGGAGAGGATGACGACCAGGATGAAAATGACAATGAGACCGGCGACGAAGAAAATAGGGCAACACCTGAAGAGGACAACGAAGCACAATCCAAAGCGGACGCACCTGTCGAAGATGTCAAAGCAGCGCCGGCTGTCGGAGAGCCTGAGGAACGCGAGCCTGAGACCCTTCAAGGAAAACGTGAAGGAGGCGACATCCAGATGGTGTCGGCATAAACAAATTATAAGCACCACCCATCTGCAAAATGCCTAAAGTATCGTCCGCCTATACCCCCCGAAATTGGCTTGATCTACTCAGAATCTACTTGCTATCTATATGCTTTCCTGTTGCTCTTTACTGTATCATATGTTCGGCTGATTTTGAACATCATGTATATGTAAGTTGCATCTCTGCTCTCAACCGTTGCTCGCTGATCCCTTGTGATAGATCTGCCTAAATACCAACTCATCTACCCCTTCCGTGGCTAGTGATATTCACTCTAACTGAATTCATGTTAGAACTCCCTGTATAGTTGACAAGTTCGTTGGTCCGAGTCGTATTTTGACAGTGCTTGTATGTCATTAGATAAGAAAACCAACTGCCCTCTGCTCTAACTAAACATGAACCTGCTGACTCTTATTGACACTAAAAACCGTTGTTTGGTGCGTTTCCACCGTCCCAGACTCCCAGGTGCTAACACCGTCTATTTTTAGAGGAAAAGGTCCGGTGCTCGGCAAGATCTGCCGAATCCAACACGTCTGTTGCGGTTGACGCGTGTCTTTGACCATTTGCTCTTCTTCTCTTGTGCACTCCCCTCCTCCCCGACCCATCGTACGGTTGAGTACAGTTTCCCGCGCACAGTGGGCGTCCTTCCAACCGGAAAAATGAAATATTAGTGCTCCAGTTGTATCTGATCATGAAGACCATCAAGTGTCACGGCACGCATCATCTCCTTCCTCTTCCTGGGTCAAGGGATGCTGGAGATTCGCACAGTCCAATTCCCAGGGCTCCGAGGTGTGGCCATCCTTCCTCTTAACCGCCTCCATGTTCTAAACTTGCTCTTCATCCCGTCCGACTTCAGCCCCAAGAAAACACTATGCACTCATTTGCACCTTCCCTGTCATTTCTGCTTTCGTTCCTTCTCCTCCCCCGCCTCCTAGTTGCCGCGGACCTGCGTGGCCTCACCGCTCGCGAAGCACCTGTAGCAGACTCAGCGAGTCTAACCCAAGTTGAGAGCGCCGGCGGTGCACCCGAGCCTCGCGCACTCGAGCTAGAACTTGCTGCCAGGCAGCCTAGCGGCCATGTTGGTTCTGGTGCCTCTTCGAATTCTCTCCGCCGAAGGCACGCGGATTTACTGCGCGGACGATCTATTACCAACACCACCGCGCAAGATCTCGACGCCTACGCGCCAAATTTGCTCTACCCCGGAAGAAGGGCAGCCAATGCACGCTTTTCGTGGTTCGTTACTGGCCTGTGAGTCCGCTGTCTTCGAGGGTTAGAGTGTGGCCCCTGACAAGGTGTTTGTGATTCTTCAGAGGCGCGTGTGGGCGAACAAATGCGCCCTCGGATTTTGTGCGTATGCTTAATCCACCAACGAGGCCCGCACTAATCGTCGGTCCATTTATGTGATCTATAGGTTGTCGCCCTCAATAAAGAGGTAAAGACTCTGAAATTTGTTCATCGCCGTTCTTAATCTGACGTTCGTGGCTGCAGCAATTCGATGCGGGAGATCATTGCTTCGAGACTGTAACCATTACTGTCCGCGGCAAGACAACGCGTGCTCAGATTGTCGACCGAGTACGCCTTGATTCCTTGCTTTACATTTATTAAGCCTTACCTGAAGTCCCTTAATAGTGCGAATTATGCGGTTACAACGGGCTTGACTTCACACAAGGTCTCTTCAATTTCTTCGGTGGGGATGGAATCATATACGGCGACTGGGAGTACGGCAGCGGTGCTCCTTCGCCGAGCCCCACACCTAAGGCCACGACGACAACCTCGAAGGCGACACCTAAACCGACTACAACGAGCATGAGCACCACTTCGTCCGTCTCAACCACCACCCGCGCGTCGACTTCTTCCCAAAGCGACTCTACCTCTTCGACTGTCAGCACGTCTACCGCTTCGGCACCTACACCAACTCTTGACCAGTCGTCGAATCTCCAGCAGCTGTACCTGGCATCCCTTGGTATGGGTGGTGTAATTATGAGGTCCCTTGATACCCAGATTTGAACACTGTTCAATTACCAGTACGCATATTCCTCATTGCTTTCTTGCGTATATACTATATTCACTTCGTGTGTTGCACATTGCTCTGTTGCTATGAGTAAAAATACACTGGGTAATCGAGCTCCTGAAAGAAAACATGCGTGACGCAAGTACATACTATGCTGTACTATGAAGACAACGGGATGGATGACTTGAGGGTATGTATGTATGCGTCATAACTCTTCGACTGCTTGTTTTGCAATTGTAAGGAACAAATCCTTATCTTCCTCCACCGAATTATCGTGCCTTCCTAACTTCCAAAGCCGGTAGAGGTTTTTGAGGTTTTCACGGAGGACGTCCTGGCTGGGATCAACAGTGGTGTCAACCGGATCTTGCACATCGACAACAACGAAGCTCTCCGCAGGCTGTTGTTGTGGGCTGAAGGATGGTGATCGCTCTTCGTTAGCAGGAACGGCTTCAGTGAGCTGAGGAGATGCGGTGTTGGAGTCTGTGGTGGTAGAGTCGTCGAAGAGCGGTGGGGAACTAGCGCCTGGTTCGTTTGCGAGTTCGGCGAGACGGCGAGCAAGAGACGACGGAGCGGGAGGCTCGAGGGGATTGTAGGGTTCGACGTGATTTATCCGGAAATCATCAGAGGGAACTATGATTCGTCCTGTTTGAACGGCGTCTGCGTCCTGTCCAAACTTTTTCTTCGTTGGCAGCGGTGACGGCATTGTGGAGTCCCCGGATCCTGGATAGATGGATGGTTAGAAGGGCGGCGCGTAGAGAGTTGAAAGAACGTACCTTGAACCGAAGAGTACTGTGCCCAATATGCGTCCTCTGAGTTGAGGCTGCTATCTTGGCTCTTCCCAGAGGCAGGGAGATGGTCATCATCATCGCCGCCTCCATATGCGTTCCAGTAGCTATCATCATCCTCCACCGCCACCTTTAAATTAAAACCCTGTTCCGGGAGGAAGTCATCGGCGGAGTAGGCAGCGAAGGCGTCGCTGAGGGTGGTGTAGGAGTTGCTGGGGAAGGGCATGAGTGCAGCGTTGTGGTATTGCCAGGTGTTTCTGGGATCCCAGAGAAATAGGAGACGGAGGTTGGGGGTAATGCGGACGTGGGCAGTTATATGCTCCGCGTCTGCTGTATATTGAACCGAAAACGGCTGGTCATGGGAAGGCAGCTGGAGGGATTGGAGGAGATGGACTGCGCGTGACCTGTCTGGGGAAGGCCATGCGAGATATTCCTCGGCACTGTCTGGGGAAAGCGCTAGAAAGTGGTGCCGCTGGAGCAGCGGCCTCGATACAAGATGCGGGGGAAGGGGTCCAATCAGCGGACACAGATGCGCAAGCACGACCTGGACACTCGCCGCCGTTATCTCCCTTGGTTGCGCTGACATCACTGTGGTTGAAGACAAACCCCTGGCCGCTTACCTAATACACATCTCTCTGCCTTTCCACCATGTTCTCCGCCCGTCTCCTGATCCTCCTCCTCCTGCCCTTCTTGGCCCTGGCCCAGGTCAGTGAATAGCGCCCGCAGCCTCATCCGAGCTCACTTTATTCCAGGACACAACCTCGGGCCCCAGCAGCGCTGCAAGTGCACCCCCAACAAATTCAAATGCCAGTGGAAGCCAGACACCTGCAGCCTCAGCCTCGCCCTCTCTCACCACCGTCCTCAGCACCTTCCTCGTCACCTCCGTCACCATTGGGCCCGGAAGAGTAGAGAGCACTTTTACCATCTCCCGAGTCTTCACCAGCGTGATGCCAATATCCACGGAGAGCGGCGGCAGCAACAACAACGCCGGCTCATCCTCGTCCACGACGGTTACCCCAGCCAATCTTCCCACAGCCCCCGCCAACGTAGACGGTGGAGGACAAAACGGTGCCCCAGTCCCAGGTGCCTCAAGTCCCAACGGCGCATTTGGGCCAGACGACGACTACATTGCCGCAGCCACTGCCCTCGCCAAAAATCTTCTCGCCGGTTCAGCAATTGCTTCGCTGGTCGCAGGAGCTGTCCTCCTACTCTAAGGATTTTTTTTCGGAATTATACCATGGCCTCTTTATCGAGTGGACTTCATCTTCGTCGTTATAGCATTCATTCTTTACGCCCCATCATGCACCTACGGACTGTACATCGAGAACTCATTTAACGTACCGCATCTTAATCTCAAAAGCATTTGCGTTCCTGCCAATCATCATCGTGGGCTCGGAATCCGCCGAGGATGCTTGCCCTGCTTCGATCGCGCCCGCGTTCTCTGCCTCGCAGGTCTTATCATAACTCTATCACCTCCATCTCCTTAGGACGCGTTTTCTTTACAAAAAACATGTCGACCACTGACGCTGTCCTTCCAGAAGCCAAAAGACAGAAAATGATCAAGGCGCGTTCGGTCTCGTCATTCAGAAACATGTCTTACATATCCCTTGCAGACGATTGGTACGCACAACGGTACCTTCCATTGTGATGAAGCGCTCGCGGTCTTTTTACTGCGCCAGACCAACATCTATCGCAACGCAGGTGGGTCCGTGTCGTGACACGCCTCAGAACATCGAGTTGACGGCTTGCCTCCAGCCCTGAAACGGACTCGCGATCCTGCTGTGCTTGCCACATGCGACATCGTTGTCGATGTCGGTGCAGTATATGATGAATCTAAGCTGCTTTTCGATCACCATCAACGTGGTTTCACTGAAGTCTTTGGCCATGGCTTCGAAACCAAGCTTTCCTCAGCCGGATTGGTGTACAAGTGCGTGAATGCATGACACCTCGAAATATCCTTGAAACAACTAATGCTAACGACTATGAAGGCACTTCGGGAAGGAAGTCATCGCCAATAGGATACAACTTCCTCTCGACAACCCAAAAGTGAACATTCTCTGGCTCAAGATGTACAAAGTTTGTTATCATTCATTGTATGCCTTGAACCATCCTGAACATGTTTATGTCTGAAGGAGTTCATCGAAGCCATCGATGGTATAGATAATGGTGTTTCGCAATACCCCAATGACATCAAGCCAAAGTACCGCAGCCGTACCGATTTATCCAGCCGCGTTGGGGGCCTCAATCCGTGGTGGAACCAGCCCACTGACGCGCAGTCAGTTGACGTATGTCTTCAAGCGAACTATTTTTGTCCTCTGTTAACCCGGCATGCGTTTTTGAAGGTTCGTTTCGAGAAAGCTTCTCAGCTCGCTGGAACCGAATTCCTTGAAAAATTCGACTACTATGCCAATGCCTGGCTTCCAGCTCGGGATTTGCTCATCTCTTCGGTCGCAACTAGCAAGGCACAATTTGACCCAACCGGAAAGATTATCCTGTTCGAGCAATTCCTCCCGTGGAAGGTAAATTCAGCCCCTCGCACCCTTTTCGTAGTGCTGAATATTTTGTAGGAACACTTGTTCGAGTTGGAGGCAGATGACCGCATCCCTGTTGTGGAACCCAACCAAGCTATCTATGTTGTATACCCTGATGAAACTGCCAACAACTGGCGCGTTCAGGCTGTTCCAGTCTCGTCCGAGAGCTTCGAGAGCCGCAAGGCTTTGCCCGAGGCCTGGAGGGGTTTGAGGGACGATGAGCTTTCCAAGGCTTCCGGGATTGAAGGCGGTATTTTCATTCATGCGTCTGGATTCATTGGAGGCGGGTTTTTCTTGTTTGATGGCATGGCATCTTGTACTCAACGTTGTGCTACAGGCAACAAGACCAAGCAAGGTGCACTCAAGATTGCTCAGGCTTCCCTCGCAATGTAATCGGGACCCAAATGAAACCCACGAACACGCAAATGCTCAGTTTTTTCTTGTCTTACAGCCCCGACGGCTGTTACACCACGTTACGCGGTTGTCAGTGCAGCAAATGCACTATGTGCATACTCCGTGCACAGAAAGTGAGCCCGCCTCATACAGGCTGGAAACATGGACGTCGTCATTTGTCCATGGCTCAAAAAGTCATGGATTTTCGAGATGCATTCCCATTGCCCTAGTGGAACGCGCCCTTCTGTAATATTACTGTCAAATTCAAGTTGTGTTCGTTGACCATCCCTTTCAGTGAGTTCTATCTCCTAGTATTGCGCTCTCCACCCCACAGGAATGCCCATCCTTTACTGGGTAGACCCGCGCTCTTCTGCGGCAGATTTGATAGGCGTTAGGAGATGCATTCTTGAACGGATCCCATGCCTCATGGAACCAGCGTGCCTTCATTTTCACTTCAATGTCTCCAATCCAGTACAGGTGTAGGTCCGATCAGCGTCGCTCCTCATTGACGGGCAACCAGTCTAGGCATCAACTCGAAACAAGACAAGGCAGAGAAATACGGCATCCCCAGAAAGGGATATTTCCGACAGGTTTTGGCCGGCCGGCAGACGGATGGGCAGGAGGCAGGGGATGGTACTCCGCTGCGCCAACGGACTTCCGTCCATGCAGAGTCCGCGTGTTTGGGTGATTCACCATTCGCTTGCGACCATCCTTCCAGTGCTGGTGGTGCACACCAATGAACGTTATTAACGTACATATCTGCAATCAAGGGTGGGCTGGTCGACGCCTGTTAGCCTACACCCTTGATCATGATGCGAACAGGCATGGGCCACTCTTCTAGGAGTACTTCTGCCCAGTATGATGGGCACTGCAATGACCACCACCTCTTCCACAGTTCCACGTTTGCGCCAGCGGTCCTATTCAGCTTCTTTTCTTGACTCTTCCCGTTCTTCGTCTTCTTCAGTTATCCCTCTTCAGCCGCTCCGAAAGCGGCGAGCATCTAACGTTGATCGTGCTCCTACCCCAAGGAGCACCACCTCTCCGCCGAGGAACGCTACTCGACCCCGAGTATATCCGCGCCACATTCGTCGAAGAGGAAGAAAAATGCCGTTCCTGGAGGCGCATTACCACCCGTTCTTGTTCTTGTTGATGACACTATGCGGCATGGCGGAGCTGGGCCTTACCTCGTTTCTGATTAGTGCGGGGAACGAGAATGGGACCTGGCCGACCCCGAGGTACCATTCGCTGTAAGCGCATCTTTTTCTGAATAGGGCGCTCGAGGAGCGGTGCTGACGCAAGCCGCATGGGAAAGTCTAATCATGCTCTGCTTCAACGCGGCGTGGACAACGTTGTTTTCGACAATGTACATCTTGTGGTACGTCGACCGAGCGGGCCATTTCCTGGCGAACGTCGCAAGTTCGGTCATTTGGTTGGTCCTCACGTCGGTTCTCTGGGTAAGCAGCGATATGACAAAGCAGCATAGAATTATCGCCTCTGAGACTCTGCATATTCCTTCAGGGAACGGGAGCAGGCATTATGCACAACACGCGAACAGGAGGAAGCTGTGCTAGGCGCCCAACGATTTCAAGGTGTCGGCAGTCGCTGACAGTGGAAGCGATTGGCTGGACAGAGTTTGGGCTATGTGCACTGACGTTGATCTGCACATGTGTGTGGGTGTACTCGGGTAGTTGGGTGAGGAGGCATGCGAACGATGCTGCGAGTGACTCTCAGCGACTTGTATAGAAGACTCGGGCTCAGTAGCGTTGTGTATTTATAGCGCGGCTTCCCGGGCCGACAATGAGAACACATGTTTATCAGATTACTTGGCAACGAGGTTTCCGGCAGCGGGACGAGACCAACGCCAATACTCTACTTCATGGTACACCCCTCTCCTTCTCTTTCTCCCAATCTTCATCTTTCTCGAAGCATTTTCTCTCTCCACGACATCCATCACGCCCCGCGATACGACTATGGAGGACTATCGCCGCTCGACATGCGACCACCTCCTCGAAACGGCCACCAGCGATGCAGAATCGGAGATCGACCAGCCTGCGGTATCCGACGGGCTGCTTGGGAAAGGGCAAGACGAAGCTGATGAAGAGGAAGATGTGTACCAGGCGGCCTTGCAGAGAGACAAGCAGATGAGACGGAGGGCGTTCTTCGTTCGAACTGTAGCCTTACTCTGTGCATGCTGCCTGAGTGTTGGTGGTCACTAGTACGCAACGATTTTATCTCCGAGAACTGCTCTTTATCTGAAGACTCTCAAGTGCATCCAACATCCTCGGTCCTCTGAAAAGCCGGATTCAAAGGGAATTGGGAGCAACCCACACCGAGTACGGGCTGCTCCTGTCGGCCTACAGTCTGAACAGCACCTGGACCCCTTTGGTAGGAGGTGTGCTTGCAAGTCGACTCGGAACGACGATTACGAGTATCCTGGCTACTGGCGTTATCCTGCTAGGTGCGAGCACAGGATCGTACGTCTTGATCTTTCCCTGACCTCCCCCAAGGACAGATCTTTCTGCTCCTGGGAGATATCTGGGGAAATATTCGCCTCATGGCATTGGGTCTGTTCACATTTGGCCTCGGTATTAGTCCATTGGCTGTGGTACAAGAAACCATTATTGTTCGGTTCTTCAAGTCCCATGGTTTGGGTGTCTCCATGGCTTTCGGCCTGATAGCAGGCAAAGGTGCCTCCTTCGTCGCAGCCCGGACGACATACCCCCTCACGGAACACTTCGGCACTCGCGCTCCTTTTTTTGTGGCAACATCCCTTGCGGCCCTCTCTGTTCTTATCAACCTGTTGTACATCTCTCTCTCTCGGTGGTTGATCGACGGTGCTGGTGCAGAGCTGGAGGTCCCTGACATCAGTGACGAAGCTCGACGACGACAGTCTGTCAGCATCTCGGAGGCCCAAGCCTTGGAAAAAGTAGCTGAAAAGCGCAAGGTTCATCTTCGTCAGGTAACCAAGCTCGGAGACGTCTTCTGGGCGTGAGTGACACAACACCTCTGTTATTGACCTATTTTGATCTCAAGCACCATTCAGTTATGTTGCCTTGAATTTATTCTGCGGAACGATTTGGGCACCCTTCATACATCTTGCTGCGTGGGTCGTCTGATGACAGCTGTTTTTCCCTGAGGACTTACGGTGGTGCATAGGAACCTCATTCAAAAACGATACAACATGTCAGAGGAGGTTGCGGCCTATAATGCTTCATATCTTCTCGCCGGCCCTCTTCTTCTGTATCCCCTGGTATGCAGTCTCATGTTTACTTCTCTAGGATTTTGCCCTCATTTATTCCTCGAAGTGCGGCTACTTGGTCGACAAGAAAAAGCAACAACCTATTGTGATCCAGCTTCTCCTGCTTTCATCGACGCTAACCCTCCTTGGATACATCTGGTTCGCACTCCCTGCCAGCTGGACGTCGACGCCTCTACCAGGTATATTTTCTTACGCCTTTGGACACGGCTTCGCTCCTTGTGAGTAGGCATTCTTTTCACTAGATACAGCTCTGATGACCATGTAGTGCTCCTTGTTGTCATTGTCCCAAAGATCGTTCCTTTGAAATACATCTCCACGGCACTCGGTGTTCATAAGAGTGTACTTATCTCCTCCTTGTCCTCTCTGTAATGTTTACTCAGACTTTTCAGATTGAACAAACTGGATCCACACTATTTCAAACTCTCGCCGGCGTTGTACTGGATTCAAAAAAGAAGGAGGGACACCAAGCAACACGAACTGCGTTCCAGTATCTGCTTAATGCTCTCGTAGTCCTCAACGTATTGCAGTTCGCCACCATTTTAATTTTGGCATATCTGCAGCGCCAAAAGGATCTTGCTTACCTGAAAACACACTCACTACTTGCGACGTCCGTCTCAGCCTTAGATGACTCATCGACGACCTCTTCTCCACGCCATTCACGAAGGTTTATAGACCAAGAAACACCTCTTCTAGCTCACACTCGGTCTAGTCAGTATCTGTCTGTTGACGCAGGTAGCTCGTTTATCAGGCCAAGATCCCCACGACCCTCGACGAGAAACAAGGCAGAGATGAAACGAGGCCAATTTTTGGCTATGTTCTGTGCCTGCTTGACATTCACTGCGTGGATCTTATTCATGACAACCGCTTGGTTCAAGTTGGGAGGTAAGAAGGATGGACATTGATTACTCTCTTCAAGCTTGCGTAGCATATTTATTACGCTCCATGTACATATTTTTATGTTACGACCAGATAAGCCCCAATGCGTGTCCGCACCTCCTGAACTTATCTTATCGCACTGTCAATTCGGAGATTGCCGGTATAACTGCACAGTTCGACTCAGCCACCCATTCCGTTTTCGTCAGTATCCCAAATATTGTCCGGCGCCGGTCTCAACAGCTTCAAGCAAAAGGTACGTCGCCGTCGCCGGTAGAGGATATCGAGCTCACTTCCCCTTCGCTAGCCGCAAGATGGGCGCCTACAAATACATC